AGTATCGTAGAGTAAACTTTTTGATAGCGATACTCAATTGTAATGGAAACATGTTACCTCACTGGTGGGTTATAGGTTTATTTATTTTCATCGATTGTAAATTTTGATGACCGGACGGAACCTTGCTGACGAGTGTCAAATAGTACGAAACCTAAGTTCAGATTTTCCTTTCGACTACATCCAACCGTCTAACATCCCAATAGAGTGTGCATGGTATCGAGACTAGTGGTGAAACTTCGGTCTGATTAGTGGAACCCGATAAGCACTTCAAGGCTTAGATAAACATGATATTAGTCACTACTCAATGGCACATCAATTTCAACACCCTAATGACACAATATGTTAGTCTGGGAGCAGAGCAAAATAATTGTTGAATTATCAGATACAGTGATGGAGGTAAGAATGTCACAAGGACAATTGATTCTCTTGTGAATATGTCTAGTTGATAAATATCAACTAGCACGAGACGTCTAGGTTCATAGATCAACACCGATACTTATCTATACTTATATAGATAATCAATTGAAAAAGTCCGTTTAGATTTTACTTAAACCGAAGTTATTCAGTGTGTATAAAAGCTTAATGCAATTAGTTTTTCAATCTATGTTAGTATTGCTAAATACTTGAGTGAATCATTCTTAGGAAGCTAACTTTGACAATTTCCAATTATGTCAAGCTACTAACAAACGGTACTCAGATATTTATAAAAGGACACAAACTGTTGTCAACAAAGCGGAACATAATATATTACCTTAATGGCAACCGTATATTACCTAGTCGATGAGAGGTTAAAAGGCCAAAATAGCTTAATTAGTTAAGTGGTAAGTAATCAATTACCTGCACCCATAAAAACTAACCAAATTTTGAACAATTAGTGAATTTTTGTTTAGTGTAATGTCTAAAACACAATTCTGATAATCAAAATATCTAATAAACTAAAATAATGTAGACGATTTGTAACGCGAGTGCATGTTTTGAGTGATATTGCATTATACAAACTAGATAATCTAATTACTAAACTTTCATTGTCACTTTGGGTATCATGAGATCCTACGCTTCAATTAACTAACGGTGACGTTTATAAAATTATCTAATGAAGTGTATAAAGTGTTACTTTCAATTCACGTTGACTACCTTTTTGAGTTGAACGCTGGTCATGCGACTAAATGAACTTGTATTTGGCGAGTATAATGAGCATAGATTGATTTCAGTATTAGGCTTCCTCCATTCAAAAACTATTATCGATCTATAATCTTGAAATTTGTCAAACGGATTTGTGTCCATAGTTGGCTATGTGACAAAACAATCTCCATTTAACTATTTATCAATGTTGATGGATGTGTACGTCGACATTGTCATGTACAGTACATTACTCATGGTTTCCTGTGAATATAATTTCTAATCGATGAATATTAAATATTTCTATAGATTTCTATAAATAAATTTCACTATGAATAAGAATAAATTAACAACACAAATTTTCACTGCAATTAACACACATAATATTATCTTCTATTTAGAAAATATTATCTGTACAATTCGAACATTCTTTATTAAATGAAATATCTAATGGTTTTGCTAAAGTTTATCTACAAAATAATTCAGATGCAGAATTAATTGTTCAAGAATTTAACAATACAATATTGAACAATTCTCGAATTAGTGCACAAATCAATTGAATTAAATTACAATTCAAACGACAGATAAATGGCCGAACCATTTCTATTATATTAAAATGATATACTAAAATAATGTTAAATGAACAAAACAAAAACACGATATATACTCATTATTAGGTATTTAACTCGAACTTAATTCGAAAAATTAAAATATTCGTTTCTAATTTATATTTTAAAAAACTTTTAATTTATTTCGGACTGTTTTGTTTGTGCTTTCTGATTTTTTTATGCGTCGAATACTGAAATGATCGATTATTGATTTTCTCTAAATATATAATTCAAAACCAATTGTATTCTGATCTAAGTAGGTTTATTTGTTTTGAATGAGCATCCAATCGAATATCATCAGGTATAAAGTTAGTAATCAGGAAGTATTGATATGTCTTGTCCAAATTTAAAAGGCGTTAGAAATTGTTAATCAAACGATGTAGATTTTATTTGTCATAGGTTGGTCTCATTAACGGCTGCACTGGATAACTGCTTTTTCCTAAGATAAGCCTCCTTAGAAGTGCGTACCTACGACTCAACCAGGAATGGGACCTAGATCGACCAGCGAACGGTTAGAATCACTGGGTCAGTTAACAAGGGTAGTACAGTTCTAACTTACAATATTTAACAGAGTAACGATTATCCAACACCAGTAGTGACAATTGTTTTATTTCTGACATGTCGTAATCCCACGGGGTACGACTCCGGACTAACAACTCAAGAATATCTTGAGATAAGTCCAAGTGAGCCGACTATTATTGTTAAGTAACACTGTAGAAGAGTTTTATATTATGACAAAACAAATGTTCATCGTTCCAAGCCATAAATTATTAAGGAAAACGACAAGCACCTACAAAATTCTAAATTAGTTCATGAAAAAGCCAGTAGAAATATACCCCTTAATGTTAATACAAATCCCACTGACAATCACAACCATGCCAACAACAGTAGTCATTCCGTTGAAAGTTCAAATAGTCATTTCTCTCACATGTTTACTGTTGTCTACCAAGATAGTAAAATTTTAATGACTGAAACACTTGGCCTGAAAGTATTCAATTATAACAAAATCCCCCTTTCGGCTATAAATCTCAACTACTTTATATTTGAACCACTTCTACAGTCTATCTATCCAAAAATAGTATTTCAAAATCTCATGCTTTGAACTACAAGAGGACAATGTTTATCTTTATTTTACTGAATACTAATAGTAAAAGCATTACTTTCTACTGCTACAAACTGACCATTGGTTCTGGTTCGTACTCCTGAGGTTGATAACGAAAATAGGTAGGGTTTAGAAATGTTTAAAAAAACAGTGTGGTGCTTTACATTTTTCTTTACAAAAAATCATTTTATCCATTAAATAAAACACTGTTTTTATAGTTACCAAGACCATTCGTTTACTTTAACTAAATAATGCTCAGGTATGATGAAAAAACGTTAATCATGGCAATAGAGCTTTACTAATATTCAATTTTACAAATAACATGAAAAACAAAATAAATAGTACGCAAGTATCACTGGTTCCAAGAATACTATGAATGGAGATTGTTGAGTTTTACAGTTTATACCATGAAATTAACTTAGTTAAACTATTATTGTAACCACGAAGCGCTGAACAGCTGCTATGGGACGGTATACAATTTCTTACCAGTGCACATGGCAGCGAAATCCGTGTGGCGCTGCCGGGTAGTGATGGCATCCTAGTTAGCTAGCTAATTTGGGCGATCGGGAGAGATCAGGTTAAAGCACCGCACCCATGCTGATATTGGATTATTCGAATTTCATTCTTTGAGACTTTTGTAATCGTGACGGGCTGCCCGATGTGCCTGCTTATGTACATACATTGCATGAGTCTCGGCTTGTGCAAATCATGTATGTATGTATATCCAAAGAACACACGTGTGGTTAGTGCAAGGAATATACTCTGAAAAAATGTCTGCCCATGTTTATTCAAATCAGAGGACTAATCCTTTAGGTCGAAGATAATAAAAATATGTGGTAGCAAATACTAGGGAAAGGTGACCATCAACCCATCATGAGAGAGCGCTTATACTTATGTGTATTTCATGAAGTGTATGGATAAAATCCCTCATACCAGCGATATGTACATAATGCGTAAGAGACAGTCAGTTGTAGCAAGTACGTTCGAAGCGATCGGTGACCATCTACCCTCGCAGTGGGTGAATATACTTTCGTGTATGATATGGTATGCATAAATGAAAACTTGTGTTACCGGTGTGCATGTGAGCTATACTTGTCCCAGGTGCGGTGTCCGTGAGCCAAGACGCAAGAGTTCTAACGATTTCCCCACGAAATCACGTCCACACGGTGGGTTATCAAGCCTCGGAAAACGGATTCTAATCCAGACAAACTAATCAGCTTTACCGAGTAAGGCTTGATCAAAGTAAACATGATTAGAACACCACACCAGTGGACATCGAATTAAGAATGTAAGCCATGAAGGTTAAACTAATAGTTCAACCCAAATGAGTTCATGGAAATACACTGGTAAGGAAACTCATTCTAGGACAAAACAGATGTCCTGTGCATCCTGATTTTCGATTCTTGAGCTGGTAACTATAAAACTATGGATCAACTGATTAAAGAACATGCTATTCTTACAGGTATATTTCAGTACAAGATATTTATCTGACTCTAATCAGTCTTACTGAACAAGAAAAATCAGAAACATGATCAAGAAAATAGAGGAAAAACGATCTCTTAACGACACTGTGTCAATATTTACATGGACTTTAAATGTAGCCACCGTTCAAATAGTGGAAATGGTATATAAATATATAACACTAAAAAATCCTTATCGTAGGTACCAACAACATTAACAATAAGTGATATATACACATATACCAATATATTCTACACTTCACAACAATGAAGATCAACATCAGTTTTTAATTCAATATGATCATTATTAATTGTAATATTTATTGTATTTTCAATATGCTATTTTATTCAGTATAACATTGGATTCTTTCAGAGTGATGTTTTGTTGAAGATATGATATGCTTGTATTAGATTAACGTGAACTATGTTCAGCATGAAATGCAGCGTACAATTTTGTGATAATTTTATATATGACGTTTTACTAATTCATAATCAAATGTGTATGCGAATCAATATATAAATGAGTGCATTTTCGACTAGTAGTTTTCGTGTTTTGGGGCTAATAAATCTTCACTTGTACCAGTCTTCATTACAGAGTTTCCTTGTTTTAAGTTTAAGTAATTAGCGACGCGGATATAACAATTGGTAACGGAGATTTCGGGAAGAAAAACAAACAGAACTGAATAGTTATTATATCCTAATATAATACTCCTCAATTGTGTGTATTTAAAAAGATTATTCATTCGAAAATTAACAATTTTTTATTCAATCCTGTTTTTAACACTAACCTCATCTATAAACCATTTATTTATTCTACAATAAAGATTATTTATAATGCAATTAGTATTATTTAACATCGAATCGCATTCAACTGAGTCATAACACTTGAATGAAAAGGAAGAATATTACTATTCGAAAAAGACATTCTCATTCATTAAAATGTTGGCATATTTTTCATGACATTCATTACGTAATGAACCAACAATAATAACGAAAACATAAAGAAAATCTTTACAGAAAACCAAAATGGTAATACATATACACATATCTGCATCTATAAATACACATGTATACGTGTGAAATGCATAAACCAATAAAACACAGCATAGATTATATATATATATATATATATAAGGAAACAAACAGAGTAGTTACATAGTGAAGAGAAAATTGAATAAGATGTGTAATAAGAAAAAGAGGTGTGGAGTAAGTGCATCTGTGTAGTAGATAACAAAATATTAAAGGATAAATATAATTTGGCAAAGAAAATTACGTGGTAGATGTGGAACACTTTAAACAAAAATTAAACAGGAACAAATAAACAAAGGTAGGCATATTTAAACGCACTCATCCTTGATTTTTTTTGGCTAAAATCTCTCATAAATGTAAAAGCGAAACCGATTATTAAAATAGTATTACTAGTCTCATTGGTCATAAATAGGTAAATTGCACTTTGTAGTACAGTTATTATTAATATATACATCTAGGAACGTTATATATATGATAGGAGTCTACATAGTAATAATAGTTATAATAACTAGTAAGACACATATAAAATAAGTTAATGTATCACTCAAGACAAATAAGATTTTGATCTGATTCAGAATGCCTTCGTTTCAAAAGGCGTCTAGTACGTGCACTTAAACATTCCGCGTTATTATTGAAATAGGATTCTGGAGATTGACAATTTGAATTTTGTACACGTCCCCATGATGATTTAACGACTTCAGCATCATCTAATGATCGATGGGAATGTGAATTATTGAATGATTCATTGGAATTAGGATCACATGTATCATTAGATTGATCGTCAACACTAATTACTGTTTCATTAGTAGATACTAATGAAGAGAATTTAGAATGGAATTGATTTCTATGTGGCAACAAGTGTAAAGTTAAGTTTGCCAGTTCTAAACCCGCTTGTACTGACGACGTCATTGCATCCATACCTGAATAATGAAGCTGAAAACAAACACACGGCGGGGAATCAATCAACATAATTAAGGGTAAATACATTTTGAAGGATAAGAAAGAATAGATAGAATAAGGAGGGTTTGATGATTATTCCCAATCAGTCATACGCAACGTCGAACCTGGCACATGCGCACATAGATTCAAGTTCTCATATTCCATTTGCATAGAGAAATGAAATATTCCAAGGCGGTAGAGGTAGTGGTAGTAATAGTAGTAATGGAAATAAAAAAGATTAAATATTGAAAAAACGATCCGGTAATGCGGATTATGAAGATAAGTTGGTTGAGAGACTCAGGATCTATGGGAAAATGAAAAGTGAATACCCTTGCACCGATGCGAACGATTTCGAGCCATATCTCCAAACACTGGTTACGACAATCACGAGAACCTCAACCATACATACATGACTCATTCTAATAGTCAGTGTCTTCATAGACTGATCCCATGTTTTGATTCGGTCAATTCTAGCTTTCATCTAACCTAGTCCTACATCAGCCATCATTCTGCATCGAGACAGTCGGTGGGTAAATATACATAATACATGCCCTAACCATCTCACCCAAAGGATAAAGATTCACTATCTTATCAATTGATTTGACATCCTTGCCTAATACCTTGAGTCTAACCTCAGATCCCGCGTGAGGGATCGTGGATGAGCACTGCTGGGGAGCTCGATACTAGGATGAAACGGCCGTCCAGTGCTTTCAGGTTTTAATAGTGGTCTAGCATTAATCGATTTATGATTTCAGTCAAAAACTTAACAATCTTCACAACCCCATACTGATATTTAATTTTCATTGCAACTATCCTACTAATTGCTTATTATCATTAACTTTGTAGATAACAATAACATTCACATTTATACCTAATTCAAATTCCTATTCCTACCCTTACGTAACTATTTGTTGTAATTAACTGACAATTTCAATTTGGACAATGAGAGTATTAATTTAACTTTGTATTAGTAGTTTGGATCTTCCCATTAATGTTTAGGACTGCAACTGATCAATCACTTTTTGGTTTATGTACATCATGTGCGGGTTGTCTCGATGTTGCTATTTAGTCACAAGCGTTATAAACCGAGGTGGATGGTGGTCAAAAGTGAAATCTAGGGTCCGTGCTTCGTTTTACATGAGACTCGTCAGATGGACGAGAGTAGTAGTTAAAAGACACCTACCTCCTATAGTGACTTCGAAATCGTGTTAAGCAGAAAATAGGATGAAGAGATAGACAAGTTCATCAGAACAAATTTATCATAAACGTCGAATATATATATCTTACTGTATTAATATATATTGTCAATAGATGAACAAAAAACCTATTAGATTTGACAAAGCTAAGTTATTATAAATTCAAGTAACTAGTAGTGAACTAAACATTTCCTGTAAAACATGTTCATATCTTATTATCTTTAATACAAAGTATATTCTACTTACTGGATTTGACGTGTAAATCATTTCTGATGTAGTTAGACAATTAGCATGATAATTATTGATATGTAAACAATTTTCTTTCCGACTATCATAATCTATATAATTTTCATTCTGTATCAAATTTACAATAAGTATCCCAGTACGTTTTACAAGTTCCATCCAAGCAGACCGTTTAACATGAAACCATTGTTCTTTATAATCATTTTCTTCATTATTGACGACACATATACAATCCCTCGAGTAATTCATATTGGGAGCTTGTAAACGAGCGACATATGAAGATAATAAATGAAATCGATCAGAAAATTGAGATTCTTCTGTTGACGATGATATCATGAAATGAGTCTTTAAATATCGATCCACAGCAGTCTGTAAAAGTACATCTGTTTTATCCCACCAATGATCTGCTGAAGCTGCGAACAATTGAGTTTGTAAAATCCCTGGAGAGTTAATCTTTAAGAAAATAAATAAGAAAACAACGATTTTATTGCAGTGACGTGTTATGAATTTTTCTGACGTTCGATCAGATTAGTAATTCAGATAGTATATAACCATCTATTGTTTATTTATTTATCTATTTATTTAAACAAATAAATATTGATACAAGAGGGCATCAGATATATACGCGCCACACAAAACAATGAGAATGGAAAGAGAGAAATAAGAAGGTAACGAGCGCAAAAGACAAAAAAGGAAGAACAATAACGACCAGATTACTGTAAGGTAGTATAATAATATTAATAGTAATAATGGGGGAAACGGAAAGATACAGTCAATGATACACTCTCTAGTTCCCAGACCTTCGGAAAAAATAACGCAGTCAGCTTCTTAATCAGAAGGTTGCCACCATCTTTATAAAGAGCCGGAGGTACGTCATCTGGGCCAGGTGATTTGTAGCGCTTCAAAAGTTGGAGTTTCCTGCGGACTCCCACCTCATTCGGTGGATCAGTCGTCACCGGCTATCGAGGGCAGAACAGTGAATGGCATCCCGTCATCCTCGTAGATTGTTTCGCTCACACTAGACTTCTTGCTGCCAGTGGCTTGGTTGAGTTGGAAGAGCTTTCGGCAGTCACCAGATGCAGCTGCTGTTTCCAGTTCATTAGCACGCTCCGACCACCAGGCTTTTCGGTCCTTACGCAAGCTTCGCCCGATTTCATTACGTATCTTCCTTCGTTTGTGGTCAAACTCACGATCACCCGGAGTAGACCCATGGGTTTCAATGAGTTGTAAAGAGCCTGAGGAAACCCAGTGCTTATAAGCGGGACGTTTTGCGAAGCCGCAAGCGACTTCACCAGAGTCTTGAATACGGGTCTCGGATAGACTTTCTAAAGACATAGCCAGCCCTATGTTTTGTCCGACCTGCATAAGTGTGCGAACGTTGAAGTCAGCCAGTTTGAATGGTGCACGTGGTTTCAGAAAAAAACTGCTTCAGTACTTGTATTTGGTGGTAGCATTCAATTTCCAACCAGTCAGTGACTCGAGAATGTTTAGATAGAACCGAGTTTCTACCTTAGGTGAGCTGCTGTATAAGTCGAAAAGGCGAGACTCTAATTTATGGACGACCTTTGAACGAATCGTAAGTGACCCTGATAAATATTAGTCAGTCAGCAAACAGTAAGTATAGAGTAAAAATATACTATACAAAACCAAGGAAATAAAATTAATATACTTCTTATACGTGGTTCAAAAACTTGTTAAGGTTAGAAAGCGGTTCAGAGGTTCTAAAATCGTAATGCATGCAGTAGAGGAAGTCATTCATATGGCTACAGAATAGTCGGCCTCTGCAGCCATGATAAATTCTCAAAAAATCTTTCAGCCTCGACCACATAGCTTCAATATAATTTATGTGCACTCCGATTGTTCAGTATACAAAATGCCACTTGTGGATAACGACACGATGCACATAATCAAGCTTATGTAGGAGTCTGTACGCTCTCCAAACATCCGTATATATTGTAGTACCTGGCTGCAGCCAGTGTTACTGGTGCTTTTATTATACAGTTCTCAATAATTGTCATAATTTGCCTTAGTTATGAATTATATATGGGGTTTCCATCACGAACTGACATCAGATATAATGCCAGAAATCTATTTAGTTAAATGGATGGAAGGCTTTCGCGTTAAAATCCGAGATCTGTTGTCTTATACATGATTGATTCATCCACAAACTATAGTCTCGCTGTTTCATTTGTTATAGCCGCTCAATTATCACGTTTTGTCCAAAATTCCCTGTGAACCGATCGTACGTTAGTATTAAGCATTGAAGTTGGCGCCAGTAACCTTGAAATCTCTAAAACGCTTCTGATTGGCTCGTCCATAAGTTAGTCTTGCCGTCGAAAAATAAGGATACATAAAGTGGGGATAAAAGAGAGTGAATAATTGACGAAGTAAATAATAATAATAATAATAATAATAATAATAATAATAATAATAATAATAATAATAATAATAATAATAATAATAATAATAATAATAATATGAATCGTTTGACTGTTAATCGAAGCAAGTATAGTATTTTCCGTAAGTATCGTCATTTCATTGTTTGTGTGTGGGCTGTGATACTGCCCGGGTGCCCAAACCAAAGCAGGTGGTTCTCCTAGAGGGCCACACCCAGAGCCTTTGACCTAAAGGTTTGATCCACAAGGCAGTGGAGCATCGTGAGGAGATGCAGTCCCATGGCAGCTGGTGACCAACGACTGATTCATACGCCATTTGTTCCTGCAGGATACTGGAGCCCATGTGTACCATTGATATAACCTTCTATGTATATCTCAGTTATCTGTGACTTTGTCAACGATATTCATGTACTTTTTTCGTGTATCCATTGCTTATGTGTATGTCTGTTGTTCACAATCTAATTGGGTATCTATAGTTTGCACATTCTTTTATCAAATAAAAATCAACTATCTATTCAAGGATTTTAACTGGAACACTGATTTTCACATTCACTTGTTCAGTATGACTGATAGAATGAATGTGTGAAATATGTGTATCGTAAACACAATTCGTGCCCGACTTTTTATTTCTACGTTGCACTAACGTGATAAGTCGACAGGATACATATGAAATTGGATAGGATCTATAATTCCTTGATTATTTCTATTCATGAGTGATGGAGTCAAATAAAGTTTACAAAAGCGTAGTTAAATTATGTCATCATATAACAGTAGGAATAAAAATTAGGAATGAGTTTATTAGGCTATATTTGTCACAGATTGATCTCAGTCGAAGCAACACTGAAAATCCGAGGGTTATAGATAATTATTTCATGATGGTTTGAGGTTCTTCAGGAGCGAAGACCCACGGTCCAACCAAGAACCAGACTAATGACCTTCAAGTCTCACGATAGACACTTAACGAGGAGGGCCACTAGGTTGACGTTCTAAGCAAGAGTGGTGCTTATATATTCGTTTGACAAGTGCATGATTGTACAGCTAATACAACCTGCTCTATAGGACCAGATAAACTAACAAATGCACCTTAAAGCATCTAAAGTGGTAGTATATCCTAGAAACTTCCACAAGTAGCGTACTTACTGGGTGGGAAAAACCAACATCTCTACAAGGTTCGGCTCTAAAACCAGTATAGCCATATGAGATTATGGTGAGTACCTGGAGAGGGATGAGGTATTAAACCATGAAGTAGATTAGACATTTCCACCCTAATTCACAAAAGTGGTCAAAGCCTATGAAATTATTAGTGTACTTTACCGAACATTTTACAATTTGCTTTAATATTTCTTATTTGATTTTATTGAATAAAATTCAAATACTTATGAGGCTTGTATAGACTTATTTTTAAGGATATTTTACAGCCACAAATTAACACAAAAATAAACCCAGTATCAATCAGTCATAATAGACGTAAAGCCTGACACAAATGTGTGTTAGACTAAATCTTCATTCCATTTTAGCACAAGATGAAATCAACAAGATAAGTAGCAAAAGAGATCGAACGAACGCAGTACCAATGATAATGAGAAGGATTAAGTATTGAGAATGTAGTTTGAAACAACAGGATGAAGGAAGTCCAAAATAGAGAGAAAAATAAAGAATGAATGTGTCAGCGCATTTGTAACCAACTTTAAGCCATGTTACCCGACGTCTCTAACCACTGATAACGATTATCGTATGGAATCCACCCCTAGACAATCGAAATGGATCACATTAATATCCAAAAACTTCATGAACTGATCTAATAGCAACCGAGAAGTGCAGTATAGTTATTCTTTATAAGACATCCAGATATCTCATCTGTCAGGAAAACTAAACAAGCATTTTGTAGCTACTTCGAGATATCAATTTTCAGTCATTCCATGAAGTTCGATGAGAAGTCAAACTACATGTACTAACGAAACAAGAAGGAACGCTGTTGGCATTAACAAATTATTGAGATTGACTTAATAACAATGTGATATGATCATAGAGAACCCATTTCAAGCTGGTAGACTACAATGAAACATTTAAAAAGCGCTTACATCCGGACGTAGATCACGAAACACATGACAAAACCCTCGGTTTTCCCGAGTATCTGGAAGGAATGAGAATAATTCACTGAAGCTATCTCCATGAGATGAGACTGTATGGCTTGGATCAGAATTCACAAAACGTTCAGTAGTATATTGTCTCCACCAACTTGACGAATAAACTAATGTGATAGTAATTAAGCGAGCATTTGTTGAGTATTGACCAATATTCTTGTCTACTGAGCGATTTACATCTAGAGTGTATGGTTCATTCTTGAGTAAATAGTGTTCATCAATCAAAAAGGACCGAAGATAAGGGGGTAAACAGATTGATAGGTATGTTTGTTTTGAATATTGGACAGAGTGGTTTAACATGTCGTTTGATACCAAAGATTTGGGCACAAAGTATAGACGGATTCGATCAATGGGAGTTGTCACGATTACCTAAGTAGAAATGTGATGAGAAACAAAGTTAGTAGCACTCCACAAGAAGTCTGGTATACCAAGATGAATAGGCAAACTAACAGATTGACCTAGAATAAAATAAATCACCAAGCCATTCCTCTATTTAAACCAAATCGCCATCACCATGGAAGAAAATGACCCCACAGTTCAATGGTTACCCAGCAAGATTACAACACATTTTTAAATTATCACTCTCATTATCCCAAAATATACTATGTAGAAACTGTGCACTAATTATACTGTGTTACCAACAAGTGTTGGCGATTCCTCAGAACCAAAAATTATCGAAAACAGAGTCGTTGAAGTCGTTTACATCTTGTACAGATCACATTCGTCTTACAGACACGGCTAATATCAAACATATGCCGTCACAGTAATAAGTAAATAAATAATAATAACAAAGGAGTTCAGAAGCTAACTCCACCAAGAACAAGCCATATTAACACAGGCTAAAAATAAAAAGTATTGATTAGAAATTCTTCGATTTGATGAAGATATTGTGAAGTAAACAATCTCTTTCTAAATGACAAATACATCTTACTGGTGAGACGAATGAGACAAAAAATAGTTACAACTTCACCAACTGTCTAACAGTAAAACTGTTGGGGATATTAAAATCTATAAATTATTAGTAATAAATCAAGTGTATTAACTACATGTGAATTTAGTTCATTTGATTTTTGTGTTAATTCAGTTTAACTCGTGTTCAGTATAATATTCATTTGTATCAATTCTAGATGATAATATGCATATAAATGAATGAATTTGATTAATGAATAATCTTCCTTAAATACTACACATAAAATTTCTTTGCAAGACTATGTTTTGTTGTAATTAAGGTTAAAAAGGATTAGAAGCTGTAGTATCCTAATATCAAGGGGCAGTTAGGAAGTATCACTGTTAGCGTAAAGTATACCTTGTAGAGACAGATATTAGTGAAAATAAAACCTGCTAAAGCGGAAATACTATTGAAGCAACAATTTAAGTTAATGCAAAAGTTGATGAACTCGAAGAAGTCACAATGAACGACGTTCTCGGTCATTGTTTCTAATATTGCAGTGTAGGTAAATTAATCTATGGTCATCGAACAAACGGCACTTTGACACATGGTTTAGGTAGTATGAAAGCTTGTTTGAAGATGATTTTGTTGCCCAAGAAAATCCCTGAAAAATTAGTCTACTATCCAGAAAGATCAGTTTAGTAGAATAAGAATAAATATTGAAACGTCACTCCATCGCAAAACGCACACGATAAAACACATTTGATGAAACATGTAGACCAATCAGTAAATAGTTCGCTAATGATTATTCCAAGTCTAATAAATGATACAGTTGTTTGAAGATGATAATGTATGAAACAAGTAATTTCCTCACGAACAACACTAAAGTTGCAAATAGGGAATGTGGATGATTTAAACATAAATCTCTAACTGAAGACCAATCAAACTCACCAATAAAGATTTAAAGTCCACAATCATGTAGACTCACATAAATTAAAATGCTATTCCTGGCTCCCTCCTTGGGTCATAACTCGAAATTAACATTGAATGATATTAAAAATGAGACAACGCAAGCATGTTTGGGATAGGATTATATCTATCCAAAATGCTTCAGGATTTGCTTGCGTAAGCTTCTAAATTAATGATAAAGAGTAAAGTGGTTGAACGTATCAAATGCTTCATCTATATTAGGAGTCTCATCACTCCTGATTCTCTGGTGTCTGACGAAATCTCTGCGTGAATTCAGAAGGCTCGGTCGACTTTTGCCAAATTGCGTTGCCTGTTGTTACGCACGCGATATATCCGTCTGCCAACTAAAGGATGAGTATACTGTGTAGCAGTTCACTGTGTTCTACTTTCTGGATTTAAGACGTGGTCATTAGGAATAGAGGATATTTGTAGGTTAATAGTATTCAATCACAGGTGTCTCATGTTTTGGAACCACTGAATGAGCCATGTCTCGGTTAGGAACAGAGTAATAGGTGAGGATGGCAAATCGATTAATGGGGTATTAAATTTCCATCAATTGAGGTAGTTGGGCCTTGCGCTACAAATTGCCGACCACCTCATACTACGACGGGCAAAGATGCCTGGTGTAGTAGGCCGGAAGAAAGTTAGGGGTGACCAAATCAAAAAACGGGATCAGTTCAAACTGACAAGTGAACTGAGCCACGTTAATTAGTAGGAGTAGACTACCTGGTTGGGGTTTATGTGATTATCGTAACCAGTGGTTAGAGACGTTGAATGACATGGCTCAAAATCATTTGCAATAGTGCACCTGAATCCATTCTTTATCATAACTCAGAATTCCCCATAACTTATTTTTATCTGTTTTTGTTTCACTAATTTATATTTCTTTGAGTCAGATCTTCGATTCCTGTTCTTTCTTATTACCATTCATACTATTACCACCTCTACTATTTTGTGATTTGGCTTGATAGTCTCATCTCTCTTTGCTAATGAGGTATGGCAACTTGAACCGATGTACATACGTACCCGGTTCCATGTTGTGGTTGACTGACTGACGGACTGATAAAATCACACGTGGCTAGTTACCATTCAGTGAAGTTTCATATAACCGAATCGACAAGCTAGCAACTGCATTTATTCAAATATAATAAGAAATTTAAGAAAATATAAAAATAAGGGATAAAAATTATTATTACCCAATCAACAAGTTCAGTTCCATTGGTATAATTTAAACGAATACTTTTCAAATCATCTGAAATAACTTTCTCTTTAGTATAATTATTATTATTGTTATCAATAGAATTAAACTGTTTCAACGGAGTGGAAACAATATGCATTGAACTATTAACATCGATGATATTGTCATCTGAGGAGGATGATAATGAACCAGTATTTACATTGAAATCATTATTTTCTAAAATAATTGAGATTAATTGATTCAAACCATTATCATCACAAGTAATATTTTCATTAATATCTTTCATCAAACAATTCCGTAAATAATTTATAGGACCTGGAATCAAACAATTGTTTGATTCATTAGTACAATTCATAATTGATGACGGTGTACGAATAACATAGGCAGTGAGATTTTCATTATGACTATTTAAATTGTTTGATTGTTGTTGACTAAACTCTGCTGTTACTGTTGTCGATGTGACAGTTTTCTCATTAAAACAACACACTGGTAATTGATCTAAACGAGCTGTTAGTGGTTGTAAATATCGCATAGATGATGACTTTGATAATTCTGTAAAATTTGTTGTTAACGGTTCGGTTAAATCATATTCAACAGAAGCTAAAAAGTATTCAATCAAACTTTGTTCAATCTAGTAAAAAATTTGAATACAAACAAAATAAACAAAGGAACAATTATTACTTACAGACTTAATGTAGAAAAACAAACACACTGAAAATAAGTATCTCGTGAAGAATTCTAACTGGTTAAAGTATACTATACAGATGAGCTAATCCGATTTAAGATAAAGAGTATTAGTTTTCTGTGTGAAGTTCAAAACGTTATGACAGACACAGCTTGTGTTTTTTTTGTAATCTAACTAAACCCTACTAATAATGAGCTAGTAAAATGCTTAGAGTTGATAAATATAAGAAAACTAAACAATAGAAAACATGATTTATAAATTAGTGAGGATAGCTTCATACCTAAAATCAAAGACCTAACTGGATACGTATTTGTCTATATGAAGCTATGTAGCATTTCGCTACCATCACTTCCAACTGTTAATGTTGCATTCGACTTTCTAATCCTAACATAACTTGTAGCCTCGAATCTTAACTCAAACCCCAAAGCCTACATCTTAACCAAAACTCCTATTGATTTTTGGGTTTTTATGTGATTCACTTATAAGTTATTCACCCACAGCATCTACATTTCTAATGGCTACAAACTGGCTTTACTTTCTCAAGATCACTTATGAGTCCCTCTGTTATTCTTGTAGTCTGCCTTTATGGAATACATAATATTTAACATATTTGCGTAAACACAAACCGCTGCATCCCTCCTGACGATGAGGTAATAGAAGAATTATAAGGTAATGACGAAACATTATTAGAATGATAAAACTTTTCAAAATCTAATCTATTTTTCAACTAGGATACTATTCTCCAGAAAAAAAATCGAAAGCCTACAAATGTGTAAAGCTAAAATCTAGGGGTGGGGGTAGAAATTCCATACTCAATGACATGGAATCCTAATTACTGACACATATACACAAACTAAATGTTTTACATTGTATAGCCCTAACCAACTCTGCATACTAAACAACTAGCCAGCAAGCTGTATAATAAAGTAAAATATGTGCTAACAGTTTGTTATACGCAAAATTACACACGTACGATGTGTAGAGAATAATTGATTTAGACTAAGCTTTACAGTTTTAAATAGATTTTTCTAATTGTTATCAGAAAAAGCAAAATATCTGATAGTTAACTTACTGAGTTTCCAGTTAAATCAGTTAAGCGTTTTCGAACTTCTGCATCCATTTCATCCCAGCAATCTAAAAATAGAAATGTGAGCAGCAGGTGATATATAATTAGGCAAGATTAGGATTATGAAAATGTGCGAACAACTTCCTGTAGATCTATTCAAAGGCCGTGATCAGTGAAGTTCAACCATGTCCAGTGTGAGAAGATTACTCATTGAAGATAATGGAAGGTCGTCGGGCAATATCGTGGACTGATTCGAGTTAAACATGCAAGCGATTGAATACTGGCTCGGTAGTCTGGAAATTGAGCGTTCGCGTTCTAGACCAAAGGTCCTGGGTTCGAATTCCGAGTGATTTATGTGGCGCATATCTATTTGGTGCCTCCTTGTTCTAATGTTTGTGTGTTCAAAACAATAAATAAATAATATACGATCTACAGTTCTTAATTTATTCCAAATCCATTGGTTACAGGCTCTTATACTCACAGCTAATTTTGGTTTGATCTTGTATAATTATTATTTTTCATTTTATGGTGTGATGTCTGGCCTGCTTGTATATAAACCATATGTGTCTGAAATGTACGATTCACATAGAAGAGGCTGATATTTTTGTTCTGAACTGAACGGGCTGGGCTAGGAGAGAAGCTACTATACAGAGGACCAATAAAGACTCAGAGTTAACTCAAGGCTGCTAGTGCTGGTTAACGTGCCATTGGTTTAGCACAGGGAGAAGGTCAGAAGAGTGAGTATTCTGATTGATGATTTCTTGTCACGTGATGTTCAACTGACCACAAGACAAAACACAGGGGAGTCCCACGCTGAGACGAAACGGTTGTCTATTGTTGTCTGAGATCGGTTAATGACTTCAATAAAATTCAACAATTTCCACGGCCCGATACTAGTGAACAAAGATAAATCTTAGACAACGAGTACAACACCATGTGGACAAACATCGTTTTTAAAGTAAAATTTCCGTTTAATTGTAATAGGCAGCTAATAATATATGTACACTAAAAACAGGTGTGCTGCATAGAAATGAGTTTAACAATAAAGTAACTGATAATTAGTTTTATTGTATTCAATAGATCGAAAAAACAACTGACACAATGTAATTTCCATGGTTCACATCACAGACTGATCTTAGTTATGCAACCAATAAAAACCAGTGACTAGTAGAGTTCAACCATATCGAATGTGAGACAGTTATCCACCCTAGACAACGACAGATGTCCACAAAATATAGAGAATTTAATGGAATTAGACGTGTATACCATTGTACTCTAGCTCAGTGGTCTAGAGGTTAAGAATTCGTGAGCGAGTCCAAAAGTTCTGAGTTCTACTTCTTGTGAGTTTGTGGACGTGGACACCACTAAGTCAAATACTAGGACTGAAAAGCTGTTCAGTGGTTTCTGGATTCTAATCGTTATCTAACTAAGATCAACCAATCATTTGAAATATGAAAATTCAAGTCTCCGCAAACCTATCGACATTAACAATGTAGTTCATTTATCAAGTACCAATTCACATGTGTCAATCAGGTTAAGATATTATTTCTCCGGCATAAATGTTTAGACATACATAAGTAAAGCAAAATTGATCAAATAGATTTAATCTAGTGTTGTTAAAAGATAAATGATCTAATCATTAGAACGCTGGCCCACTAAGTTAAAATGGATGGTTATAATCATCATGAAATCACAGATACCAAAACTACAATTAAATGCATACATACATTCATATAAATATGGAAAAATTCGGTGATACGTCTTCGAACAATCTACATATACATATAAGTAAATGTTACCTTCAACTGAGGAAGTTCTGTCAAGCAATCTATGAGTTATGGATTTCAATACAGTATTATTATCAATCTTATTGATGTCAGTAACAAGATCCACTCCTTCCATTTCTTCTAATTTCGGATTGATCTCAGCATTTGTTTTATCTGAATAAAGTTGAATAACTAAGTCTAAGATAGCTTCAACATGAAATTCTATACGAACAGATTGACTCGATGGAATAAGTGTGAATTTATTAATATTATTATCCTCATCAGAATTATTATTATTATCAATTACAAATCCACTTGACGACGGTTGTAAAAGTAGACATTTTGCAATAGGATGTAGTTCCAAACCTGTCTATAAAGAGTAGAAGAAATAACAATGCATGCAGTGAATAATAATATACATAAGTAAGAAAAAAACGGTAGCGAAATGAAAATGATGAAGAAGTATCGTTTAAATAATCTAAAAAACTCCAAGGACTGATTTACAATAACTTTCAGCCTAATGATATGATATAATGAACAAGAATTAGGTCTAAAACAGTTAGTCAGACATTATAATTCATTGGATAGTGAATGGCCGAAAAACTAATTTCTTCCACTCAGTTTTCATATTTTATATTATATCTTGTGTCAATATTTTGGATACAAGTATTTCATTCTATGACATGTAAAAATTTCATTCTTCTGGGTAGTAGTTTGTCTTTGATTTCAAACAATTCGGTGTCTTATGTAAAGTATACAGGCTTATGACTAGCCATCACTCGCCTAATTCAGTATGATTGCATATCGTATCTCGATATGTGTTTCTTTTCTTTCATTTTGACAATCAGAAATTCCTCCACAAAATCATAAAAACCCTAATCTATAATAAACTAACAAACGGTACAGTATAGTTGGACATATTTATCACTTTACTACTGATCATAAAGATTTTATTAACTCTGACAAGTGTTCATGGCTGATGAAATCTTGGCACGGATACGAAATGTGATCTTGGTGTTTTCCAACTTCCGCCAAGTTTGGTGTGCGCGAGCTATCTATCTGGTTATTAAGGGGTGAGTGAGCCGAACAGCAGTTTATCCTGGATCAATTCATGGTTGTGGAACATGGCTTATGTAGACAGATATGCCTAGGCTGCTGCTAGAGTTTTTTTATAAATGTCTTCGAAGTAATAGAGTAAGTAATCTTACAGTTATTGGTAGGCTAGTAGATGAAGATAATGAATTCGCTAATGAGACTGTAGACTTCCATCTGCTGGGGCTCCTTGAAGACGCCTAACAGTTGTCTATCCTGACTTCCAGTATGACTAGAATATAAGTAGATTGAAGAGATATTAATAACAGTCATGTCAAGATATAGGATTAATCTAGGAAGTTACTGACTGTTGGCCTTAAAAATGTAGAAATACTGGTTGGGATACAAGTAATAATCTCAATATTTAACTTTACATTCTGTACGATGCTTGTCATTTATACTAATTATAGGAATTATGTGTAGAAACCCATAAACACTAACTGGATAAGGTAACTTGTAACTTTAAAAAGATGTCGGTATTTAACATAATTCCATCAACACCAAACATGGTCTATCCATCAAATGAACAAACTAAGTTGTTAAAATTTCTAAGGAAACTTGAAGAAAGCTCTTAGAAAATGCACTAAGTACTAAGAGCTGTTTGTGAAGCTCACTTATTTAAGAAAACATATCTTTTTACATGAATCAAGCGTTTCAGTCAGGGGGTTATGAAGACTGGTAGAATAGCAACAACCAAAATGAACACGCCGATCTCCGACATTAGTAAAAACGTCAAAACATACCGGCCTCTTGTGCTTTCTAATACCCAATTCACTGTTCCAGTATTGATGAACTAGAATTAAGAAATCATATGTATACATGATCCAAACAAAACGGTGTGAAACGATGAGAGAGTTATTAAACCTGATTCCAAAAATAATTCCTAAAGATGTTATAAACAATGAAAATAGAGATGGAACAGATGTACCGTCAAAAATTGACAGTTTTTGAAGGAGATGAAATGAATGTGTCCTAAATTTTTGTGATGGAAGCTTATGTAGTTATAGGATAGATTGTAAGTATTCAACACCAATAAATTCAAATCTCTCATTGATAACTTCATCTACACAAGACTGCAATTATTACCTTTTATACATCAAAAAAATATGAAATATGTGTAATAAGCATTATAACTATCAAAAGACCTTACTTGCCAAGCAAATATCGACACAGGATGATGTGGATAAGTATAGATGCGATCTGACCATGAATGTAGTGGTACAAATATACCTGATAAATTCTTATTTTCATCGATTTGAACAGGAGACTAAAATTGACAATTTAAACATATAAATGTCTTTTTAAAGGTTGAAAGAAAAAGAGTATTTGACATGGAATGACAAGAAATTTGAAAAAAAAACAAATACAATATCGCCCACATATAGGATAATTTCATACAGATGAACTGAGATCACTTTCCAAATTATAAACATGTGTAACAACATACCAACATCATCATTCACAGTATTTGGTTTTCAACTACTAGTAAGTCATTAGTTTGAAACTTGCTCCAGTTATCACATAACAGTTGAGTGGTATGAATGTCTCTTACAATAATTTCAGCTCAAAAAGTCAGCATGCACTTAACAAACAAGTTACATAAATTAGTGCATGTAGAAAAGACAAATTAGCAATGTTTCAGGCAGCAACACCAGCCCCCAAATGCCCTGGTACGGCCGACAGTGAGGAGAGTCCGCTATCCCTCTCGAAATGCTCACACACGGCCACGCGTATATAGCCTCTGCCAGGGAAGTCCTTATTATTGCCTTCTCGTGGCATTACTGTTGTTTACGAAATTGAGAGGAAGAAAAGCGAATGTCCGGCACTTTAATCGGGTTTGTGGACATGAAGATTCCACCTAGAGCAGTTGGAAAACCCTGATTCCGAGCCAATGGTGCACATGGGCTCCAGTATCCTGAGGGAGAAAATGGCATATGAACCAATTGTTGGTCACCGGCTACCATGGGAATGCATCTCCTTTTAAAAAAATAGACAAGAATTTCCACAAAACCATTTGACTTATTTGTTCTTTTTATATTTACGAATCTCAATTCTTCACCACATATTAACAACATGATTAAAACACTATATTACAAACTAAACATATTAAATAAAATGATACGATGTTACCGTTACTATTATCTTGCTGCCTAAACCATCCTCAGTCATTCAACTAGTCAGTCACAATCAACATAGAACCTGGCACAAATGAACATATTCCTCGTGTGAATTGGGACCATAGAAGGAGCAACGTAGAGGCTAGACACAGAGTATAGAGTAAGGGTGGTAAATCGGTTGGTGAGGGAGTGAATCTTCATCAACTGAGGTGATTGAGACAATTATCGTCTATGTTCAACCACCGCATATCCTGAGGCGAGATGCCTGCTGGTGTAAAAGGTTGAAAGAAAGCTAGAAGAGGAGAAACAAATATATAGAGTCAATCCATGAGGTCACTGACTACTGAATTAAACCAAGTATGTAGATTGAGCCTATTTAGTTGAGGTCTACGTGATTATCTTAAGTAATGGTTGGTGACGTTGAATAATATGGCATACTTATACTTTTCATTCTTCTCTAATTCTGTATATATAATCTAGCCTACTCTACCACTGATAGTTACATCTACTACTCTAACATTTGTCTTGATAAGTTGATCACGTTGTGATGATTGTATGGTAGCTTAAACAGATGCACAAATGTACCAGGTCCTGTGTTGCTCATAACTAACTGATTGACAAATATGCAACATTCCAATTTATAATAAAATACAAGCACAACGAGATAAAACTTAAAAAAGCGGATAACGAATAATCAAAATAGTTGTAGCAGTAGTGTTGATTATGAGAAAGAATAAGCATTCGAGAAAAGAGTTTGTAAAGAAGGGGTGAAATCGAGGGATAAGAAATAATATTGAGGTTAAAGACTCAAGGGAAAGCAAAGATGAGAATGTATGTTCCACTGCCAACAATTTGATGTCTGAAACGTGTACATCGAAATTATCAGGTTAAATATAAGTTTAAAGTATCGTTTTTATTATTAACCTATGGTAAGGTACATAATCGTGTACTTGATTTTAATCCACACTTTGTCTATAGAGGCTAGTGATACCACCTGGTTGCCCAAAGTGAAGTAGGTGGGGACCTACAACCTAGTAGATGAAAGTTGAACGCTTTAACCACTGTTAAGCCACCGCTCCACTAGCCATAAAAAATCAAAGCATTCACCAAATTTTAAAAGCAATGACCGAATAAGATAAATATTCATTTTTTAAAAAGTCAAGTTTTTAACTCTCCCTTCAATGTACAACTAAAACAAATCTGATCAACTTACCATTAAAGATGGGATAGATAAAACAGGATATTGTTTGGACCTTTTTAACATTATAACATTTGATGTTAAGTTTTTCATCTCACCATTATTATTATTATTATTATTATTATTATTATTATTACATATATTTTTATCGAATCCATTGTTTGTAAACAATTCAACAGTGCTCTGAATAGTATTATTCAAAGTGGAAAACTGGATCATTAATTCTGCAAGCTTGTTATTATTTAACGAATTTGTAAATGTTGACAATACACTAACAACACTAGGAGAAGGTACTGATTTGATAGATACAGGGAAATAAAGCTTTTGTTGTTGTGACTGAACATGTTGACTAGATTGAACATGTAACTGATGTAGATAAAGTGCATTCCATAGTTGACGGATAGTTACAGCAGTTGTCAAATCTGAATCACCGATTAATCGTAATTGAAATTTTGAAGGAATTTGTTGTTGTTGCTGTTGTTCTTTGGAAACACCAGTGACAATCTTAGTGACCCAAAAATTTCACAGGATATCAATGTTAATAATATATATAATTATAACTATTATGTAATAATATATATTAATTAATACATAATTCAGTGTAGTAATCATTATTGTTAATTAGTCAGTTATTATTAACGTAGAGATTGACAAAAATGTGCGATTGGCCCAAGTTACCAATACAATGTTAGTACGAAGACATGAAATCAATTAGACAACTAACAAACAGATCTAAATAATGTATTAGTAATGATCATAAATGAACATTGAGAATATCTTTCAAAAAGACAAAGTGGAAAAGTATGCATAAAGGAATATTGAAGAGGAAGACTACATTTGAATGCATCTGTGCGCTATTGTGAACGACTCTGCGCTATGTCACTCAAAGTCTCCAGCAACTGATCACGATTATCTTCCTGACCCCAATCAGGTGGTTCGCATCTACCAGTATGGTTATTACTGTACAGCATCTCAATAAGAATTTCGTTTTGTAAAGTTCTACTCTGTCCGATGAATATTGGAATTGATATCATAATAACCATGGTTTTGAAAAAATTAGGGAGGACTCATGTTATCATTCTCACAAAACTTCTCATTTTATTGCAATTTACTCATCCTATTTCCATTTCTATTACTCGAAACAGTCCTAGAAGTCTTCAAAAGTACGACTTCTCCAGTCGTCTTCTCGCCACACAATTTTCTCATCCGTGAGTATTTTGCTGGAGCCTTGTGTACAGACACTCTTCTAAAATCCAGCTCATCAGGAATAAATTGGAAAGTGAGGTGCCTATCAGAAAGATCAGTGGCTACCCTTACCTTATATTATTCTTGCAGTCTTTCTGGCCCTTACTGAAGCTCTTGATTCATTCTAAAAAGAACTGTTTAAGCTAGCACCGAAAACTTTGACGTTTCGGCTCGCTCGTTAAATTAACGGAAAGTGTAGTTACAAAAAAAACGGAGAAACACGTTTGAAAGTGATTTTCACCACAATTTGATACTCTCAAGTGTAGAATTCTGAATCTATACAAAATTCAACTGATTAGTATGTATAGAAAGAAAGAATATAAAGAGATCTAGTTTAGTAAAAATGCAAGTTGCTGGAGTGGAATCCAAGAAACATATGTTGGTCACTCATGATTCACAAAATGATGTCTACTTTTTATGACAGTTACTATTAACTTATTCAATTCACATAAGCAACACTAAATAATTGCTAATGTCATTTGTTTAGCTGCTTCCTTACAAGCTAAATAGTACCACTTAATTACTTGCTTTTCTGAAATATAATACCTGGTCACTCTCTACCGCTAGATCAAACGGATCTATTTGACAAACACCAACGTTGATAAGACCACGACATGTAAATTCTTCAATTAGATGTGGTATCCAGTGTTCACACAAAACTATACGTAGTAAGCCCCGGACAAAACAGTGATTAGCTGCAAATTTACTGGTTATTAGGCGCTGAAAAGTAAAAGGATATACTCATTCAAAAGACGAGAATATGATAACTATAAAGCAACTTAGAAAAATGACACACGACAATTTGAAAACAACATGCAATCATTTATTCTCAACAGTTGTAGTGCTTATCAGGTGAACGTTACATATACACTGAACACCTAGACCTCAATCGGTGAAGATTAAACTTGGCTGTTATTTATATCTAGACTGAAAGTTTAGGCTTTGCAAACTAATGAACCACACTATCCAAGTAGAAGTAATTAGAAATTATTTTTATATGATGAAACTATAGTCAATCAATTTTAATGCTAGTATACTTAGAAGCAGATTGCGAACATAAAAACTCGAATGAAGGCAAAAATATCACTGTTATTTCAGGAAATAAATAGTGACCATCAAACTTGTATCATTCTTGTCATTCATGTCTACGAGCCAAAAAGCAGAAAGATGTTTTAACAGTGCGTTTCAATAGTCCTTCGAGTTCCCTCGAACAAATTACTTGTTACACTTACAGTATCTAGTTATGCTCATTTGTGCTTGATTTGGTAGACTTAAGATTCAAGTGAGAATTGGATTCCGTGACCTATCAGATGAAGTTCACTGATTCAATGAAACTGTGAACTCGTGGCTTCATGGTTAGAGCTACTGACTATCCAATCACTGAATTGTAGATTCAAAACTCACTATAATCTTACTTTATTTTGAGTAACCGAAAAGTATCATTAGAAGTCACATAAGATGTATGATTTAAAACTGAATACACGAATCTTTGATGGATCTTCAAGTTCTATTCATTTCATGACATATGGTTGCCTTTTCACATAGAAAAACCTTTTCTATGCGCAGTGGTTTCGGCCAACTGACTGTTTACTTAACAGCTAAGTGCTGAAAATTAGTGTACTTTTTATTAAAAATTTCATTTCATGCCTTAACTTTTCATCCCACATGTTGAGCTACGCTATAATAATACGTTTATAGCGGACAACTGGAATGAAATCTCCATTGAAAACTACACTTTAACATGCAACGCTTACTACATAAATGGATAAGAAAATGACTGAAACTGTTAGGTACAATAAATTTATGGAATATTGAAAGTACTGTACCTAGCCTTGGCTGTTTAGTATCATAGTATACAGAAATTCTTACCTGTAATAATAAGTAAATACATGATAAACTAATCTTAACACTGAAAATTGAAGTATGAATCTAACCACGACATAAGCGTCCTTCATTTTTACCGTACTTAAAAATATAGCTTCTTTAAAGTTTACTCGGCGATTCATTTTACAAAGTAATTGTCCTATTTCTATGAACACCGTAAGGGTGTTTAAAAACAACAGGTATGCGCATGTATTAATCTCATTTCCATGAGCATAATCACTATTTTGGTTTATCGTTGTTCTTATCTGAGTGCTAGATGAGTTTGAAGGAAAAGCGGAAGTTTTCCAACGTTCATTGTTTTTTATAGTTGATGTTGGAAAGTATTTACTCTTAATTAACAAGCAAATATACATATAATACGATAATATACACTACAGCGGTAGACACCTAAAACAATAGAACTTTACGAGCAAAACAAAGCATGCATCTACAAAGTAAAACTCACTTTGGGATTATGAAACCATAAACAAAGAACTAAATTTCGTACAGCTAAGTACAATGTAGGAAAACTGGAACAAATAAATGAAACACGGAAGAAATAAATGATACATAACCTCTCAACATGAATGTATAAATCAAACATTGTTCTAATTAGTTAGTACTGAACTACTACTAGATCTCAAAATTTCACATAGACAGATTCTGTATACAAGATTTTAGTCTCCAAATGAATAATGCTTGCTTGGAATTAATCAGCACATATAGGATATACATACTGACGTAAGAGACGATATGGAATTTACAAATACAGTGGACATAATAAAAGTGACTCTACAACTTGTATCACTAACATGACGAGGGAGGTATCTTCTCGAAGGATCCATTTGCAGTTCAAGTTGGATCGACATTAAACTTTACCAGAATTAAGAATATATTAGGGATATACATATATGCAATGTATGTTAGATGAAAGTAGTCAGTAGGAAACTCTGGATCTAGGTTCCATGTTACCTGACACTCATCAGCAAGATGTATGTGCAATCTCGAAAGAACTGACGCTTACCTGGAGGACTCGAACCATAGTCAGTGTATACAACTGACTTCAAACACGGTGGATGACTAAATGGCATAAAGTTTAAACGTAATCAATAAAGAAACCTGGATCGTTGCTAGGAAACGTAATGTAATAGGAATGCTTTAGTAAAGTGAGGATATTTATCACAAACCATCTAAGCTAACCTAGCAAAAAAAAGTGTGTAGAAATTTTAGGCCTCGAAATAAATGGTATACATCTCATCCGTTACAGTGTCGTATTCTAGTCTGTTACTTATAAACCTATTACACGAAAGCTGACAATATTACTTCGTCACCTATATTAAATGGAGAAGTCAAAGTAATTCATTGTGCTAAACACTCGCACACGTACAAAAATAAACATAACGATTAAACAATGAAAATTAATGAACTAATCCCAAATTAAACTTCGCAGTAAACATTAGCTACATACCGTGACATTTCTGAGAATGAAAATCTTTCCCAAGCGTGTAAATCAATCGGAGAAAATGCCCCATCCTCTTCAAACACACTAAAAGGACTGTCAGAAGACACTGACCAACGAAAAATAAAATGAAATTATTACTGCGATTCTATGACAGTCATAATTATGAGATTGTACAAAAAAGTTTTGAGGGATGAATATAAGAAATGAGAAAATGCAAGTCTATTAACTATAAAACAAATATTTGAGCACAATGTAAGTTTTCGCCAACTGACAAGTATTCATCTTGGTACATTTATGATGACGGATATTATTTTGTGATCTAATTCGCCATAGCTGTGAACCGTTTCTTTTTTTTGTCTTTCTCTGCCATAACATAATTCTCTCTAAAAATGCACATCTGGTAAATAAGTGCAAATGTCGATTAAGTTTTATTACAACACATAGATAGGTCATTTCAACTAATCACCTGTTACCGTCAACAAATAAAATAAATAAATCTTAGAATTACAGATTTAATCGAAAGACATTTATATTGTGTAATCAACCCTAAGAGAGCATCACTACACGATAACGATAATGAATTATGTCACAAAGCTTGGTAAAAATCGACCAGACTATCAGTGGTTGTCAAGATTTATTTTGTTATGTGAATCACATGTTATTATTATCATGCTTTTTAAAAGATGGAAAGCTCTTAAAAAACGAGTGAGAAATTCCCTTAACTGTATTACTCAAGTAATGATTGTTCACTTGCCATCGAGAAAAATAGAAGAGAAAAAAATAGAAAATATCTACGATGAATAACAACATTAGTTATAACAATTTTAGTAAACATTCCTCATTGATAACAAATTCTCGATTTTCATAAATTAGTGTGAAAGTATTTATTGATAATATTGAATCACTAAAATTACGATTATATTTGGAAGAAACCGACAACAAAATTTACACATTAATTTAGGGTAATATTGGTTCAATTAAATTTGAGTGCATTTTCATTGCAATTTTTGTGTAATTTTTCATTGAAATGGCATTTGTTCAGTTTGACAAATTCTATAGGAAATAATCATGTTGCGAACGAGAACACGGGCTGGGACAACCGATTGTATGTTAATACAAAATTATAGAATCTCTTGGTAAAATATGAGAACCATACACTGAATACTTTATTTGCGAATTTAAATCATTTGTCCTTCACATTCTGTATGATTCGTCCAAGTTACAATTCCTTCCTATTTCCGTTCATGTTTTCATCAAGTCAATTCTCATAGTCTTCTACTATCTACCCATATTATTATTGCTAATGTTGTCGGTTGTTGGTGTGGAAATATACTCAAGCTCTAGTCAGGTCGATCACATGTTCCTGATCCCAGTTGCGTTGAAGCCCCGTAGTATGCCCCCGAATGCCCTGGTACGGCCGAGAGTGAGGAGAGTCCGCTCTCCCTTTCCAAATACTCTCACACGGCCACGCGTACACAGCCTCTACCAGGGAAGTCCTACTCACTGCCTTCTCGTGGCAGGGCTGTTGTTTACGAAAATGAGAGGACAAAAAGCAAATGTCCGGCGCTTTAACCGGATCCCAAACCAATGGTGCACATGGGCTCCAGTATCCTGCGGGAACAAATGGCGTATGAACCAATCGTCGATCACCGGCTACCATGGGACTGCATCTCCTAACGATGCTCCATTGCCTTGTGGGTTAGACCTATAGGTCAAAGGCTCGGGATGTGGCACCCTAAGATAACCACCTGCTTCGGTTTGGGCACCCGGGCAGTATCACAGCTCACACGCAAATGATGAACTCTCTATATCTATGGAAACTACTTTCCTCGCTTCGAAAAACAATCAAATGATTCAAATTATTATCATTACTATTATTGTCATTATTATTACTATTATTATTATTATCACTATTATTATTATTATTATTATTATTATTATTATTATTATTATTATTATTATTATTATTATTATTTTCCACATTATTCACCCTCTTTTATACTTATACAGTGGCTCGTCTTTAGTGGAAATTCGACTCTATCTAAACGTTCTCGAGTCACTGTCCGGTTGAAAATTGCATGTTTCCACTGAATATGACTACTGAAGCAGTTTTTCTGAAACCACGTGCGCCATTCAAACTGGCTGCCTTCAACGTTCGCACACTTATGCAGGTTGGACAAAACATAGAGCTGGCTATGTCTTTAGAAAGTCTATCCGAGACCCGTATTCAAGACTCTGGTGAAGTACTACAAATTCGCTCTCCATCTGCCACTTCAAAAAGCTTGTTTTACATGCGCTTATCCGAGGACCCTGTGGCATCTTCGTTTGGTCTTGCTGGCGTTGGTGTCGCACTAAGCGCTAGAGCTGAGGCAGCACTAATCGATTGGATTCCCATTAACAGTCGGTTATGTGTTGTTAGATTAGAGAGTTTCATCAAAGTGAGAAGAAATCGGCGTGAGAAACGATGTCTTTTCGTCATCTCCGCTTATGCCCTGACAGATTGCAGCCCGGATGCAATCAAGGATGAGTTTTACCACCAGTTATCTGTTCTCCTCCAGAAAGTGCGTTCGACAGATATTGTAGTACTAGCCGGAGACTTGAATGCTCAGGTCGGGCGTCTAGGCACAGAAGAGAGTCGTTTAGGTGGCCGATGGGGACTCGTTGGTCGCAGGTCAGATAACGGGGACCGTCTACTGCAACTTTGCACAGACCACAACCTGTTTCTGGCTAGCACTAACTTCCAGCACAGTCATCGCCGATGTGCCACCTGGCGTCCTCCCTCTGCATCTCAAGCCTGGACTCAGATTGATCACATCGCGATCAGCTGCCGCTGGCGTGGTTGTGTACAAGACTGCCGCTTCTTTTGGAGTACCTATCTGGACTCTGACCATGCTTTGGTCTGCGCCAATCTTACCTTACTTTTCAGTGGACAACAATCGTAGTGTTTCTTGACATCACGGCTGCCTTCGATTCGTTGGACAGGGCTGTTCTCTGGGACTTTCTATTGAAGAAGGGTGTGCCTGAGAAGTTTATTAACATCCTAAAGGCCCTATATACAAACACCTCAGGCAGAGTGAGGGCATACAACCACCTTTCTCCATTGTTCCATTCGAGCGGTGAGGTTAGACAGAGTTGCCCAATCTCACCATTCCTCTTCAACTTTGCCATCGATGACATTCTGGAAACAGCTCTGATGGATGTAAGTAATGACAGCGTGGATCTGTTGCCTGGAGAAAGACTTCTCGACCTTGAGTATACGGACGATATTGTCTTACTGTGCGATAATGTCTAAGCCATACAACCCATACTTAATCACTTGGCAAGCAATGTCCGTAGTTATGGTATCAGCTTTGCACCTTCGAAGTGCAAAGTACTTCTACAAGACTGGCAGGATTCTGGTGAGCAGATAGAAGTAGTCGGGAAGTTCGTGTATCTAGGTAGCTGCATAAGTGCTGGTGGTGGCGTGAGTGATGAGATCAATGCACGTATAGTGAAAGCCAGAGATGCTTATGCCAATCTGGGCCACATTTGGCGCCTTCGTGATGTTAGTCTGGCTGTAAAAGGTCCGAACTACAACGTGTCAGTGAGAGCAGTTTTGCTCTATGCTTGTGAAACCTGACCTCTCCGAGTTGAGGACGTTAGAAGACTCTATGTGTTCGATCATCTCTGTCTCCGAAGGATTGCTGACATCCCATGGCAACATCATGTCAGTAATGCAGAGGTTCGGCATCGTGTGTTCGGGCCGAGTGACGATAATCCGATTAGTGTCATCATCTTGAAACACCGACTTCGGTGGCTTGGACATGTTCTACGAATGTCGTCCCAGAGAATTCCACGTTGTGCATTATTTACCGACTCTGGGACTTGTTGGAAGAAGCGGAGAGGTGGTCAGTACATGACATGGTGTCGTGGGATGAAAGAAAGCTGCAAAGGACTGGCTTGTGTTGGTCCTTCACGACTCCCTGGTTGGGGTCCGAGAGATTGTGCTACACAGTGGCTAGAGACGTTATCAGATATGGCTCAGAATAAAAGCCAGTGGCGATCCTGCTATAACCTTCTTTTACTTTGTTCATAAAAAGTGGTTGTATCTCCCTTACCTGAAAGATTTCTTCCGATTGTACCTTTCCGTTCCCTCATTACTACCACACTACCTTACACCAATCTCTCCGTCATTGTTCTCGTTTTTTACGCCCCTTACCTTCTTTTCTTTTCTCTTCGAATTGTCATTGTTTTGTGTGGCGCATATATATTGGCGCTCTCTTGTACCAATATTTGTGTTCAAACAAATAAATAGACACTGGGAGGGTATCTAGTGTAGTTATTCGTCTAAGGTAAATTAACGTCCCATTTGTGTAAGAGAAATAACTGAGTGTTACTCCAGTAATTGGTATATAACTTAGTGAATTCAGATGACAATCAACGCTTCTTGAATCTTTAACAATAAAACATCTATACAAGCTTGAACAACTGTCACTCGTTAGTGGCCAGAGAATGAGAAGATAGAAAGCAGTCTTGTTCATTATCATAAAAGTTCGAATTTTCAGAATTGCATTATCAGGTGAACCAATGATTACTTCTTCGTTTAGATTTCAGGTAAATATCTTATTTCTTGCTGGAGAAAGAAATAGGCATATTTGTGATAAAGCGAATTACGAAAAAAATGAAAGTCTATGTATCATCTAGCCCAAAATATGTTAAATATAACAGACATTTCAATGTATCTTAGTTTCATCTCTCAGCTAAACTGTTAAATTTCAACTACCATAGAGCCCTTATCATAAAAAGGAAACGCTAAATGACTATACTAGGAAGTAATTCAGTTTCAACAATAATTTACTGCCTCATACGTCAGATATAGTAGAAATTATTGTACATAGAAACATAAGTGTAAGATAAATATCGCTATTAAAATATTTACCTGATTTCTCAGCTTCATCAGTAGAACCTGGAAGTGGATCAGGGACAAGCCAGCCAAGTCGACACCATATGACGATGAAACTTTCAGAGCAGGTGATGCTTGTAACCAAGCGTGCGTTTGCATGCTTGCCAAAAGTCATGGGGCCTACTGATGACAATTTTTAGCGCGCTACAATACAGATTGTTGGATAATTTGTTTCAAAAAGAGAAC